CTAGATGTTTTAGCCTAAATTTAATATTTTTATCATAAATTGTACATCTAGTCATATGAAGTCATATTTGGAAATGGCAAAATAGTAGAAATAAATATATTTTACTACATATCCTTTTTGGAAAAATTATTGTCATTCTTAATCCATAGATTTCATATAGCAAAGAAATATGACAGTGATTCTCTTTAAAATTTATGCATAATTAAATACTTTGATCATGATTATTGTGACTAGAATGATAAGGGGAACTAAATTACAAAAATGAAAATTAAAAACTGTAGTTGTTTTTATCCTAGTATAAGTCAACTTTTCCATTAGGTAAAGTAAGCAAAGTTGAGCACTATTTAAAAGACATCCCCTCATTGTAGGTTGTATCATGTCCAGATTGAAGAGGTTCTTTTCATTACTTTTATTCATAAATTGTTTCATGAGTTGTCAAAGCCCACGCTTTAATAAAATAATTTTCCAGAAATCAAGGGTCTTACCTCAGCTACCATAAGAAAATACCATTGACTGAAAATACTATTTCACTGATGGATGAATTTCATATAAGCTATTAATTTGAATCCAGAAGAAAAGAAAATTTAAATAAGTATTTGAACCTAAACAACACATTGAAAAAACACCAACTACTAAATTATTTCACGTAACATTTTCAGTGTTATTTTTAGTGAGCTTAACATAGGAATCTACCTAATAAAAACCACACTATAACTAGGATGTAGTGTAGACTGATATTTTAAAAGCTAAAAAATAAAATTTTAAAACACATTTTAATATTATTACATCTGACATTCAGTACTATGGATGCCGGTTTGCATCCCTCGGAAATTCATATGCTGAAGCCCTAATCCCCAAGTGATGGGATTTAGAGGTGAGGCCTTAGGGAAGTGATTAGGTTTACAAGAGATCACAAGCATCCCATACAGAGATGCATCCTCCTACAAGAAGAGGTAGAAACCAGAGTGCTTCCCTGCCCCAGCCTCTCTATGTGAAACTGTGAAATCCATGTCAGCTAGCAGCTTCCTCTTGGATTTCACGCCTCTAGAACTAGAGGACAGAGCTGCTGTTTAAACTCCCAGCCGATAGTATTTTCTTATGGTATATGAGCTGAGACCCTTGGTTTTGGGAAGATGTTTTTATTAAAGGCTGGGCTTTGACAATTTATGAAGCAATTCATGAATAAAAGTAATAAAAATACTCCTCAATTTGGACTTTTCCCAGAGTTCTTGGATTGTTTAATTAGGATGTCAGCTCAGAGAAATGATTACTATTTAACTTCGTTGTTTTCTCTAAACACAAATGCAATAGAACTCATTGAGAATTCTCACTGAGCTATGGTATAAGCTCTCAGGAGAAGATGCTTCTTAACTTTCCCCAGCTTGTTGATGGAAGCTGGGTGTGAAGCCACCGGGCAGAAAACGTCTTTGCATTGCAGGGGAGAACAACAAAATTGTGCATTCAGAAGGGCCAGCCTGTGTTTTTCTTTAATGTGTCCCACGTGTCCCCTGCGATAATAGATAATAGGCAACTAGTTTTGATTAATACCAAAGATTTTGCTACATTCAAAGTTACCTTTGACAAAGACAGAGAGTATGGCTCACTAGTTTGCAGTGTGTAAAAGGTGACACTAATAAACCCAAGCAAATTTTTATTTTCTATAGTACATGATAAAAATCTTGTTACATATGTGTACGTTATAGTCCACCAGAAAGTGTACATCACAAAAAGAAAAACATATAAATAAAAGTTTTTTATAAAAAAATTTACAAAAAGAAAAACTTTTAACACTAAATTTATTGAGGCATCATGAAATTAATACATTACCTTTGGCCTTTACAATTACAAGATGTGCTTAAAGTGGTGGGTGTGAGCTTCCAGACATTTACTGCTGATTTATTACTATTCCAGACATGAACTGCTGAAGTGTGTGTACATTTTTTGGAGGAGTCTGTATATATATAAAATTTAAATGAATACATGCATAGGAAAATAGTATCTAAATCTAAACCATTGTATTTATAGTTATATATAAATTATATAATAGGTAAATATATAAATATGTTTGTATGCTACATAAAGTTGTATTTTATATGATGTATAAGATGTAAATATGTTTATATAAAATTTAACTGAATATTTTCAAGTTAGTCATTTGAGGTAGTAAAATTATACTTTGAAACAAATAAACTACCCATAAAATCTTTAAGAGGACTATGTAGGCAAGTCAACAAAAAAAAGTATGGCTTATTTGAATCATTTCTTAATGCCTAAATAATATTAGTTTATTCTTATAAAATAAGAGTTTTAACTGTTAAAATATGATAAGAAAGAATAGATTTAGGTATAATTGGCTTTGAATATGGATGAAGTCTTAACTCCTGGATGAATCCAAAAGAAGGTGAAAATTTTGTCAAAGGTACAGAAAAAATATGGAGGATGATTATTAAAGATGAATATCCCATTCTTACAGAACTTCCCTTGAACAATAAATACCATATGATTTTGGATAGTGTATTTCAATTTCAGCATTTTTTTTGTAGAGACTTATTTGATATCTATTTTTATACTGTGTGCTTTGTATGATCTATCATGCTTGTCACAGAGTTAGCATTTATTAATAATTGATGAATGAATGGTTAAGATCTTCTCATTACTGCTTAGGGTCTTGACATTTGCTGGGAAAGTAGGTAGAGTGAGAAAGAAAAGCTCTGAAATTGAATTTACAAAGTAATGTAATAGCCAAGATATTTGGTTATCTCCATAGAAGAAATCAAGAAAAATCCCAGTTTGTATTTTTTATACATGAATAAGTAAGTGTGCATGACAAATAAAAATGTATCATTAAACTGTATTTCTTACATTATATTAGATAGCTTTTTAAAATATAGCCAGGCAGGTTCACAGCAACTTTACAGTTGCTATCATGCCTGTTGACTGCTGTGAGCAATTGGTTATTTAATTGTACATTCTACATGTACATATAAAAATAAACAATAATATTAATAGTGAAATCCCAAACACCAAAGAATTAGTTAATGCTAAATGTAAATTACCTAATTATAAAATTAATAAATTAAATCACACATGGCCATAATGACTATTGGCAAATAATTTACTTCTCTCTGTCCTCATACTATTAAAGAAAAGTAGTAATTGAAAGCACTGACATGTATGTTGGAAAGTATATTTGGAAAACAGAAAGCCTGTTTAATTCCTGAGTACCTAAAGAAATAAAATGAAAAACATTTTAGATTATACTACATTTTTAGGCAGGGAATGCAGAAAGTATCAAAACTTTTCAAATGTTTTGCAAAACAACACATTTACACCTAACAGGGCAGAGGTGACTTACCCACTTTGCTTTCAGCTTCTAGGTCACACTGTTCCCTGGAAGACTAAATCTTCCACCCTTGGATGTGACTGGGCTAGGAAAGCCCAGCTACTTTATTTCTCAGCATGGGGCACTCTCATAGATAACATTCATTTGAAGACTTTGTCAAGGTTTTGTGAGCTGCAGTTTGAATTCTTCTTGTGCATTCTATTCTGAGATTCGTAAGGGGTGTAGTGTGTTCATTCCTATTACTTGGTGGCATTCTATTATATGGGTATATGAAAATTTACTTACCTAGTTGTCTGATAATTGGACACCTGGATAATTCTCAGTTTGGGGCTATTATGATCATTCATATATAAGTTGTTGTATGAACATATACTTTCTAGATTTGGAACATTTGAAAATATTTCAAGTTTCTGTTGCATGGAGACGATTGCAAATTCCAATCTAGTCTTAGTGACTTCATGAGATCCTATCTCAAAAATCTATTTGAACTATTTCAAAAGGTGAGTTCTGATAAGTATGTGTGGAACATAATACTATTTTACATGTTGATGGAACTATAGGTTGGTAGAAATACTCTTTTTGTTTGTTTGTTTTGTTTTTTTGGTACCAGGGATAGAACTCAAGACCTTCTACTTCCTAGGCAGGCACAGTGCCACTGAGCTAAATCCCTCGCCTGGTAGAAATATTCTTAATGACAATTTGATAGTACCTACCAAAAGAAAAATGATTATCTTTTGTTCCAGAAATTCTCTTACATTTGTAAAATATTGGAAAAACTACTTCACTCCTAGTACCTTCTATATTTCTCATGGGCAGAAAAAGGCTAATTATATATAATATGTAATTCACATGTTAATACATAATTCATAGGGTTAAATTGAACATTAAATAAATTAATTTATGAAAATTACTTGCCATATCAAAATTTTTTTCTTTATTATTTTTACTATAATTATGGGATTTTATTCTCCAGAAATGCTTTGTCTAATATGAACGGAATATACAGTATTTTAAAAAATGTTTCCTACAATATTATCAAAATAAGAACTGGAGGCAAGGTAAATGCCCATTGATAAGGGCTTATGAAGAAAATTTTGCTCATCTGTAAGAGGAAACATGAAAAGAATGGAGAGGTTCTCTTGTAAACATGAGCTGATTTCAAATGTTGCCTCTGTCCTTATGAGCTGGGAGCCTTTGTCCATTTCCTAACTTCTCTGTGTCTTAATTTTTTCAACTGTGAAATTAATGATAATGCCCACATGACATAAGTTATTGTGAGGAATCAATAAGGCACTACATATAAATTGTTTAGGAGAAAACCAGGGCATAGCGACCATCCCATATTTCATAATGTTCTATAGATTATTAGTCACTTTTTATAAGAATAGGGGCAAATCTGCATGTAGTGTCATTGAAGGATATTTACTATAAAAAGATTTTATATTTTCTCTCTGCAGATATAATGAAAGTAAGCTAATACATAATCTAGTTATGAATTAAATGTAAGTTTTTAAATATGTATCAATGATTATGTTCTAATTACAAGAAGAGAATAGTTAAGTATATTTCACATTTCTAACTCACTGCTCTTAATTTTGATTTTAAATGAAAATTCTAATATACAAAATTGACTGACTCAATAGCAAATAGTATAAAATAGTTTAAAAAAGCATTTAATGGTCTTTGAGTAATTTATTTGAGTTTATTAACCTAGGAAATATTTGTTATATATTTATATACATGGGATACAACAAAAATTGAGTGTTCTACTAGAAAGATTACAGTGACTAACAATATTGTGTGATTAACATTTTATATTACTTTAAATTGAAATGACTTAAAATGAAAGAACAAAAATAAAAATACTTACTCTAAAAAAAAGCACTTTGTTTCCTGTGCCTCTAAATTTCTTTAGGAGCAAGAACTCCTTCATATACAGACTGAAAGATATGCAAATAATTTTATGAAATAAACATACATAGAGCTTCACTCAAATTTTTAAAAAAATTTGGTTTTCACTTAGTGTAGAAAAACTAAAAAGCAGCAGCTGTGTATGCAAAGATAAATAAAAACACTAGCTGTTTTCAGTAAAGGTGATAATCTGTCTTTCATACTAACTTATGTACGATATAACAAGTAACCACTAAATGTAGTAATAGGGGGAAACTTGCCTGGAATTGTTCCTTTTACAAGTCGCAACCACACTTCCTGCCCATAATTTAATTCTAATAAGGCATCCCCAGTCAAAATTCTGTCACAGTGTACTTCACTGTTAATATTTTCAGACTCAAATGCAAACTTGTCTATTCCATCAACCACTAAAAATCCAGAGCTATGAGCACTAAATGACTCAATCGTGTATTTGAAAACATACACTCCAAGATAAGGAATATGGAATTTTCCAGTCCTTGGGTTATATGAAGCTCCATAATTGACCTCCAGATTATTAAAAAGGATAGGGCCAGGTGTAGTCATTCCATATGTATGAGATGCAAAAAATGCCACCATTGGTGCATATCTGTAAGATCCTTTGGAAAAATCTGTCAATGGAACAAAATATTGGGAGTTAATTTTTATGATTTTACTTTTTTTATATTGTTATTATTTTATCAGAGTTACGAAAAGACAACAAAATAAGGGGTCCTCCATTGAATTTAACAACAGTGTATGTGTCTGGATGCTTGCTTCTTCTTATTAAATCATTTGACATCACTTAGTTTCTCAGAGCCTCAGTTTCTCCATTTAAATCAGGATACAATGCAAATAACATTTGATATCTCCCTCATAGAAATATCACAAAGATTAATTTGCATGTGGCTTTGATCTCCTCAGAGACAAAGGAATCCAAGGTACTCTGTGACTAGCAGGGTTAGCCTGAATGTTTTAAAGCCCTTGCAGGCACTGAAGCAAACATAATGTAGAAACAAGTTTTCCGGCACCTTGTCAAACAGTTTCTAGAGGGTAAAAAGGAAACTAAATGAAGTCATATTCACTGTAGAGAAGTAGACAAAAGAGATATTTTGTGTAATTAATGCCAAATGTATTCACAAAAGCTGAGAATTAAAAATAGACCAAAAACTTACTCATTGGTATGCAGCATATTTAAGTAAAGCCCCACTTGTAATATGCTTTTGCGGTCACTAAAGATACCATATATTAAATGCTACACGTATTTTCTTATATAAAACCCAGAGATGTTGCATTCTTAAAGTACATGTGAAGCAATCAACACTTTCAACACTAAATTAACAAAACAAAGGCATTATTGTTTGATACTTTGATCAAGTCCCAGGTAATGCTCACACAGTCAAAATGGCACTGTTAGGTTAACCTCCATGGCAACACGCTGCTAAGCACACATTTGAGTGTCATTTAAATGACCATATCTGACATGAATCAAAGGTGTATTTGTTAAGCAATTTCTTTGAAGAAAAAGTTTGTATGAGTCAGACCTATACATCTGATCTTTTAAACATGCACAAGAAAAAACTTGAGGAGGGGAAGGTTTTCAATAAACAGCCTGCAGAATACTAATATTAAAAATGTCAGAAAAAAAAGTCAGCAAGAGCCTGCATATATAAATTTTCCATACAAAAAGGCATTTCCACTTGTAAATCAGGTATATTATTCAACAAGTTTCAGAAGTAAAAGAAGTTAATCCTCATGTGGACCCAGTTTAAGGTGGCTTCAATAGTAATTCTTAATATTTTCCAAACACGTTTCTTTATATGACATTGAGCAAATCCAGAATGGAGACATTTACCTGAAGCCAGAGCAGTTTCTTCCACCAGCTTGATGGTGCAGTTTTTACCAGAGAAAGGATGTCGGCAGGCACAGGTAAAGCTGATTCTCCCGTCTATGCATGTGCCCCCGTTCTGGCATGGGAAGCTGCTGCAGCCTGAATACTCCTTTGTTACTGAAAAGAACCATGATAAAGCAGGGTAATGTGGCCTATTTTTCAGTTCATCTCAAATCATAGATCACAGCAGAACAGGTGAAATATTGAATATGAAATAAGAAAATGTGTTCAAAGGCCTAGGTTGCCTGTCAGTGTAGCTTTGGGACTTCATGCAAATGCTTTAGTCCTGATTTCCCTTACCCCTTTTGTGAACTGAGGCTAATTCTGTGACTTATTGCATTTATTTTCATGAAAATGTGAACTGTAGAACACAATATAATTATCTAGACACAGAACTATGTATATTTGGAACTAGTACATGACAAAAGTAGTATTTCAGATCACTGGAGAGAAAAAATGTCATTTCAATGCATAATGCTAATTGGATATATGTAAAAATATATTGAAGTATCTAAAAATACATTTAAAATCCATTTGATTACATTTGAATCAAATAATGGAGTATATTTTTGTAGAGCCTTAAAATTTTAAAAAATGCATTCAAAGCAAACAAAACCAAAAAACAGACATAAGGGAAAAATTTTTCTCTCTTTTTTTTACCCATTAAGTTTATTGGTACATTTTTGGTATAAAATACAGTTACATTCATCATTGGGATCTTGTACCATTACATGAGTATCTTGGTTCTTTTTTTTTTCCCTTCCCCTGCCCTCCCTTCATCCGCTCCACCCTTCCCTATTTGCAAAGACTTTGTTTCCATCTTTTTCGTTTTCTTATATTTTTTCTTTTCCCTTTTTTTCCTTTCCTCTACCCCTCCCACTTCCTCTGCACCTTTAGACCTTTTCTTCCTGTTATACAATATCAATTATACATTTTTTAAATTACAATATCAAGATCTAGGAGACATCACAGATTTTACAGAATTTAAAAGGATATAGAAAGCATATTTTAAAAATCTGTTTTGAAATAAATTTTACAACTTCTAAGAAGTACCTTGGAAGACAAATTCATGAAACTAACTCTGGAGGAAATGTAAAATTTGAATAGCACCTATTAAAGAAAGTATATTCCTAGCCTGAAAACCTACCTATATGACAACAGCAGGCTCATATACAT